TTCGACTGTTGGATATAGTTTTACATGTCACATTGAACCAGAGAATGAATTTCAAGAATATATCTGAACAGTGTCGGTCTGAACAGTTGCAGTCAAACTTCTTATTCATGGATACTTGCAAATAAAACCATAAATAGGGATCAATATCTAATCGAAGATATTTTTACACACTAAACTGACTCTAACATAATAATTATCTGCGGTTGCGAACCTATATCGTGAGATTATCAAGAAAAATTGATGTACAAATGCTTCACATTGCATGAATTCTCTTCTCGAGGGCGTCCAATTGATCCGAGATAAGTTTTGGAAGATCTGGTCCGACCTGAACAAAAGACCTTAGTAGTGACCATGAAGGAGCTTGGGCGGTTGCAATAATGTATAATAGTTACCTGAGCGTCAAGGAAGTGTCTGCTCTCGTCAATATCCTCTTCCCAGTATTGTTTGGGAATGGACATCAGCTCATTCCAGTCAACACGTGGGATTCCTTCAAGATTGAGGCTGCCTCGTTTGGGAATATATCCGATTGGGGTTTCCTCCTGTAATTGTATGCCATTTTATGGTTGATGAAGCGATTTTCATTTTCTCCTTTATAGCGGTAACCTACCGCAATGTCGTCAACTCCTTCCACTCTTCTGAGAATCCAATCTAGGACGCGGATATTGTCACCGAATCCGGGCCACAAGAATTTGTGATCCTTAGTCTCACGGAACCAGTTGACGTGGAAGATTTTCGGGACCTTGAGTTTACTTTCAAATCAATATTTATGATGCAGAAGTTTCTAGAATACCTTGTGTGGTGGCTTGCCAAGGTTGATCCAGTGCTGGAGGTACCTTCCGAAATTGTAACCCATGAATGGACGCATGGCCATAGGATCGTGCATTACCTTCAATCAATTCAGATCATCCAACGAGCGGTATAATGAATTTTCAGCTTAGCTAGACGGCCTTTTTGAGAAGTGGGTCCTCCCGTTCAATTCCCCAGCCAAACTTTATTAGCCTCCGACAATGCTGCCCCCCTTTTCACGCCATTTCCTCTATATTTGCAAAATTGTCGACCCTTTCCGATCAATGCTAGGGAGGTTCGGAAACGTAGATGGTCTGAAGGGTAGGGCTTTGTTCGAACATGAGGTGCCGTTGTAGCAGTCGACGTGACCTCTCTGAAGAGAGCCTTGACTAAGCCAGCACAGGAAAAAATGTGAGAAGGGGTCTTCCCCGGGATCTTCAGTAGCTATTGTCGATGGAAATGTTCTGCATTCTAATTAAAATTACTTCCATCCCTCTTGTTTTGGTTGCTTCTTCAGATTAAAAATGCTTCGTCGGATTACACTATGAGAGGGCGCCTGTTCTTTGTTATTATCGGTGGGTAATAACGCAGAGGGTCACCCATCGAGCTAGAGCAAATCAATCAAGTTTTTCATCGTTATCGATGAAATTAACTGTAGTGAGTCAGCGAAAGGTTGAACTGCAGTGAGTTGGCCTTCACTAATCTATGTGACTGTTCGTTTCATTATCGTAGCCTCGTAACTCACCTGTTTTCCGGTGTGCTCAGCTGCAGCGGTTGCCTCTGACTTGACAAGCGCTCCAACGAGAATTCCATGTTCCCATGAGAAGCTTTCGAATACCTGGAAAGACCTCTTTTTACATGATGTTAAGGAATTTTTGTTACGAGAAGTGAGCTTGGAACTCATAAGTTTCAGTAGAAAGGCTGCTCGCTCTGTGGCAAGCGTTGCCTAACGGTATAATAGAATCTGTCAGTTCAAACTGCGGAGACTAGTTTGTGGTCTTGGCAGGCATTCTAGAGGGTAGACCTAAAATGTCCGCTCACGAAACCCTCCAGTTCTAGGTCCCAAAAGTAGATCGAAGGAGAGTTCCGAGACCCTCGGTTCCCAAAGTGAAGCGGTAGGGGCGAATGCCCGTCTCCACGTTGAAGTTCACTCCTCTGGGTAAGTTGAAGTCTCAAACGAGATCTTAAATCAGCGCGAAGACTCGCGGCACAGTTTTGGTTTGCAAGCTGATTTCGTGGATTTCTTCCTGTTGAGTACTTGATTAGCTAGATGATATCGATAGTCTAAGGAGGGTCATGCGATAGTCCATTCCCAGATAGGGATATGATTCAGTTCCAACCTTTTCTGAGTCCATAAAAAGTGAATCCGCTGAAAATTCAGCCAGTGAACATCTTTACTAACCTAGTGGGCAGTTTGAAGTATTAGATCCTATTAACCACATTATTGCATTTGCATGACGAAGAACCTGTTCTGCTCATTCTCAAAACCTAGTGAAAACCCAATGGCTGTTTTTATGTCCCCATTTAATTTGTTGAAGTACGTACAAGGGGTACTCCTTCGGGACGACGTCCTCCGAAAATGATGGCATCGATTGGTACTCCTTGAGGGGCTTCCCAGTCTGGATGAATGATTGGGCATTGGCCAGCTGGCGCCGTGAAACGTGAGTTCGGGTGAGCGGCCTTACCTGAAAGGGAAGAGTTTGTGCCCAAGCTGTTCCTAAAACTATCAAAGCGCAGCATACCCTCATCTCCGATGTGCCACTTTTCTCCGAGCCAGTTGGTGATTTCGAGATGGCGCAGTTGTTCCTCAGTGAGGTTTTTCTGAAAACAAATAATATCCTCCTGCAGTGTACCAAAATGATTTGTGAGCTAAGCGGATGCACTTTAAGAAGTCTCATTTTTTAAACTGCAATTCCTGTAATTTTCAAAAGAACTACTATAAACGATGCTGCGAAAAGTTGCAGTAGGCCTCTTGAGGTGATTAGGGTTAGAAAAGAAAAAGAATTGGTTTGAGCCATGTTTCCTCAGTAGCAAAATGGGGGACTCTTTAGTGTTCCATGATCTCACCTTCTCTCTTAGTTCTTTCTCCAATCCTTCCCAGAAGTATTCTCCATCAGCGGTCTCGGCAACGTTGGTGAAGATCGAGTTCTTCTGGAATGATGCCATAGCCATTGGGTTGGTCTTGTTGGATGTGCCTGGAATGGATGAATGAAGGACATGACAGTAATCACATTATTAAAAGTCGAATTCAAAGATTCAGCCTATGGAGAGAGTGAATCGGGTAAAAGGGATGGGGATCTGAGAGCTTTTGAGAGGGTTTCCAACCCTCGTGAAAAAGCTCACTGGCTTTTTGGGAATTAGTAAAGTAAAATGTAGGAACTTCACTTCGATTCACAAAAAAGTCCAATACACTACTCCAATTCTAAATGAAAGTCGAAGACGTGGCGCATCCCAAGAAGGATGGACTGACAACAAAAGAAAAACTTTGTCTCTGTGCTTCAGGGGTCATTCATGAAGTATTACCTGGTGCGACTCCGAAGAAACCAGCTTCGGGGTTGATAGCATACAGGCGTCCATCATCACCGAACTTCATCCAGGCAATATCGTCTCCTAAAAACAGTTTTGGGCATATTTTTAAATGGACCACTGTGGTCGTTTGAGACTTCATCAGCTTTTCTTACCTACTACACGAACTTTCCAGCCAGGTACGGTAGGCGTCAACATTGCCAAGTTGGTCTTACCACATGCAGATGGGAAAGCTGCAGCAACGAATCGTTCTTTGCCTTCTGGATTCGTGATACCCATGATCTGCAATGTCGGCCATGATTCTGACTGATCAACTGGGTTACCCTTGCCATGGCCCATAACCAACCAGCATGTGCTCAGCCATCCATCCCTCGTCGTATCCGATGTTGCAAGCGATTCGAAGTGCAAAGCATTTCTTTCCTGAATCAGCCATTTTTAATATTCAGCCATTGTTGATCCCAAAGCTCGTGGTGAACCAAACACCTACCCAGAAGAGAGTTTCCACCATAACCAGATCCAAACGACCAGATTTCCCTTTCCACAGGTCGGTGAGCAATCATTACTTTGTCGGGATTGCAAGGCCAGTGGTTAATGACTTTTTCTAAACGGAAGTCATTAGTGCAGTTGTTTTTCATAGATGAGAACCAGAAACTTACGCTTGACTGGACGCGGAAGACCGACGGAGTGGACGCAACGGACGAAATCGCCGTCACCAAGTGCTTCCAAGACTTTTGAGCCCATACGGGTCATGATCTTCATGCACAGGACTACATAGCTGCAAAGAGAGTAATGTAGACGATCCTCTTCTCGAGGGTAAGGAGGGGGGTTACCCTTTAGAGGTGGATCGGTCAGCTTGGGATTCACAAAAAATAAATAAAGCGCAGAATTATAGAATCCCGGCTCTAGAGTATCCTCCCATTCTCGAGTTCCACCCTCTGCAAAATCCAAGCTCGAGCTCACTCGCATCGGACTTGTTTCTCTCGATGGGAACCTGGCTGTTTTTCTTTTTGCACGGTACCTGACGGAATTTTCTTTGAGTTCGTTAACGTCCTCATTACTTGCAAAGTTTAAGAATATTTTTACAGCGTTCCTACTGTAATGCCAAAAGCTCTTTGGTCAGCCAACAAGTTCCCATTTCACAAGCTTGCCGCTTGGACAGCTGTTCGGCCAACGGCGAACATTAGCATTATCATGAACGGAACCGGTAAATCATCGCATTCAGTCGCCCTCCCCATAACTGAGTAAATCTGCCAAATCAGAGTGTTTCGGTATCGGTATGCCATAGATTCACAGTCACATACACTCGTAGTTACAAAAACCAGTAATGCAAATTTGCAGTCATTTAATCGTTCCTAATTATCGCTCAAATCGGCATTGGGTGGCAAAAGACATTGGCTTCCCGCAGTAAAGCATAGTTTATAAGAATTTTCCGTTCTGGGAAATGCCATATCGCCTCCGTTCCGATATGGGGCCAAGGCATGCTGCCAAAGGTAACTGCTGCACCCTCGTCCTTGCCTCTACAGTGATAGCACTCAATACAGAAACACTTTAGGTGTAGGGTCTAGCTCCCGCTGGTTTTGACTGATTTCAACCGCAAGGCTCAGGTAGTGTAATGCTAAGTGGCGTGCTATCACGCGAATGGTCCTGAGATGGAATTTCGGTTTGGAATCCCTGTTTTCTTTTTGACCGTCAACAACTATTTTACATTGTCTGCACATTGTTATTATCCACGGCCCAAAATCGGGCGGAGGGAAGCTGCAGGAGGTTCTGAACCTCACTTTAGTCCACCCACTAGATGTGGGAAGCTGCGGGAGGTTCTGAGCCTCACGTTGGTCCACCAACTAGACATAACTCCATTTTTTCGGGTACTTTAGGTTGAGGTTAAGGTAATGTAGGGAGCTTCTAAAAGACCATTTCGCTGGCGTTTAATTAACGCTTAGTTCCTCTTCATAGCCTCTAGCAAGTACAGCGACATAGCCATACATCATCTAATATACTGCCTCCAGACGAAAAATGCTGAGACCGAGTCTTAAGAACTACATAATCTTCCTGTAAGAGCGTCATGGTGCCACGACCTGTTCTCGTCAATTCCTCGCTTTTTAAAAGCGATGGTCACGCGTTTGCATTCAGCAACAGCTTAGCCCCTAACTTTTTGCGGCTTACGCTCCTCTATCGTCAAAGCAGTAACGTTCCGTGTCAGAAAAATAAGGAAAGTGCTCCCTATGCCTTACAATACGGACCACGACCGTAGTTCGCTCTAGTTCCCAGAGATATTCACTCACTCTCAAAACTGAAATATGCTGACAATTCCAAACAAGTCTTTAAAGAACCTGTTTTGCGATGTATTGACTAATGGTTAGGAAAAACGATGACCAGAACTTTGAGTTTTCTTTTCACGTCAAGGAGAACTCGTGTTTTGAATGGCAAGGAGAATAAAAAGGAGAGCATTCCGCAATGGGCGCTTACCTTGAGTCAGTCAGTTCGATTCCAATTTTCGACAAGGGTCCACCAATTGGTCCCATTGAGTACGGGACAACGTACATGGGACGTCCTGAAAACTCAAAAATGATGACTTATCGCTCTTGGTTGAGGTGGATCAGGTCCCCAGTTCTTGATTAGGTCTTACCAGCCATGCATCCAGGGAATCTGGCGTCAAGTTCTTTGCCGAATTGTTCTTCGCTCATCCACTGTCCCATAATCGGTCGGACACCTTCAGGGGTGTGACAGACCTGAGATAATTTATTTGTAAGTATATGTGAATATCATGACCAATCGCTCAACTGTCGTTATTTTTCAAGATTGTTATCTTCTCATAGAACGATTTGGGAGTGTAAGAGGAGCAAAATTTACTTACAGAGTCATATTTATCCTTGGTGACCATCCATGTCTTTGATTCGACTCGAGCAACATCTCGGGGATCAGTACGGCAAAGATAGCTGAAAATAGGAATGAATAATTGACCTTTCTGGATTTATTTCAATATGAACTAATTAACTTTCATACATTTAAGGAAAGGAACTATACAGGGATTAAGTTTCGTTCAAAATAGAGGAAATTTCCGGAGCGATAAGTTTTCATATCCTGCTAGCTGGTGAAGTATGAGTCCTTTCAAGTCGTAAAGATGGTACTGAATGGTAGCCCTGGCTAGGACCTGGATGAATAGCTACATGAACAGCTATGCTTTTGCTCCCTCTAACAACCAACCAACCACTGATTCCTCTGATAACGGCTACTGCAAGGTGCTCTGGCCAATTTAGCGGAAGGAATAACCGAAACAAGCGATTTCGCATGCCTTTCTGATAGAAGAGTCTGGACTGCTTTCGGTCCTACTACTGACAACTCGAGGTTATCGTCAATGGCCAGCCAATCCAGTGTTTCTCGAGCTTTATTGGGGAGTTGTCTTTATATCCCGTGAGGATCAATTGTCAAGGAATCTGTCGAAGTGTTTGGGAAAATGGCAAATAACTTCGCTGAATATGTTCATGGATAGAACCATTTCCCTTCTCTGAAACAACCCATCAATCAGGTTCCAGCACAGTTAAAAGCCAATGACAGAAGGTCAATGACCGTATAATGACTTCGGGTGGGGAAGCAAATAGTACAACACCTTTGCACTCAATACAAAGTACCATCAGAATTCCGCTCTTCATTCTCATATTTGACGAATGCATGGTTTGTTATGTGTCAACAAGAGCCCATTCGTTTTCCCGGGAACTCACGTAAACATCCGGTTCGGGGGAACGTTTTTTCATAAGCCTCTCGATATTTTATTGTACTTCATGTTTGGGTTCCTGATGATGGCACACCTATACCCCTGTTCACCTGAAGATTTATAACCCAATTCCTATACAAAGGAGGACGTTCAATGTGCGAAATGATTAAGTGTTCCAACACAACGCCTACAATTCTGTCATAGCTAAAATGGTCCCATGGCCATCAAACCCTACACTTCGTAAACACAAGTTTTCATAGTGCCCATCAGCCATTTCTCTTTTACCTGGCTCAAGCAATTTCTCGAGGTAATGACGATCTCCTTGGGAATATCGTTGGCTGAAGGCAATGCCATCGTTTGAACGAATACACCGAAAGAAAAGCCACTATTAAACTGGCTGTATGCCTCAGAGCCTTACACATAGAATACTTTTACTCGTTTCATAAACCTTAGAAACATGAAGGATGGAGGAACGAAGTCATTGACGTTAATCAATCAGAGGAATGCGCCCCGCATTCTACTCCCATTCTGGATCGTAGTGGTGTACTGAAAGCGTACTCGGCCTATACAATGACTTGCGGTTGCCAGTCGATGTTCAAGCCAACGCTTTTATCTCCACAGAGGAGTCTGGTACCGACTAAACGATCCTGGAGTAATGGGAGGCTTGGTTGGCCTGGGCTCTGAGCGGTTTGCCGGAGTATAATACTTTGTGATCAGGGGTGGTGTACAAACACACAAAAGTGGTCTGGGGATGGAATTCTGGTCTAAGCGGCCGTTCTTGTGTTATAGCGAGCCACCTAACACTACCCAAGTTCCTAAAGTATCATACTGAAAGGTCTACATAAAGTTCCTCATTAGCACTTAAGGGTAAAGGATACTGGCACTGATCAGTCCCATAAGCGCGCCGACTTTTACGACCTACTCTCGGATTCGTCGTGGCCTTTCTACGTATATTTGTTGGATCCAGAAGTCAACGTAAAAGTAAATGTTATGTTCTTACTCACAAGTCTGATACCAATTGGTTGACTCTGATGGGAAGCTTTGGGTAGTCCAAGCGGGTAATCGACCGAAATTTGATCACACAGTCGATAATCTAGTTATGGTTGTGGAAACACCGGTACTAACCCGCTTAGTCACCATCGTCGTTTGTTCTTATTACCCGTCTCTCACAAGCTCTTAGAACATTCTTATCCTCTTATAGTTCCTTTCTAAAAAGGGAGCGGTGGAGGTATAGCATCGTTGACAAGGGTAGGATCTATCCATCTGATCCCAGTAAGTGAAAGGGAGTACTCAGTCCGACCTCAATAGAGAAGCCCCCTTAGTCTGAGGTTGTCATGCAGTAGTTGACACTGGATCTGAATGATATCATGAAGGGCCTTCCATCGGCTTTTCAGGAGTTGTCCCATGAACCCAACGTTCAATTTCTCCTACTTCCCAATCTCTTTCCTCTCTCCAATCACTTTTTCGTCCAGTCGATTTCGAACGAACTGATCATCGCATCATCATTTCCGTATTCAATTCGCTCTAATGCGCCCAACTGTGGTGCCACACTGTAATGCCGATGGTAATCGCTGGTAGGTTTTTTCCATGGTTCGCAGTCGTCGTTGTCTGCCTTTCTGTGCACTTCGACGTCGCTATCCCTGATTAAGCCAGTTGCTCGATGCTCGTCATGTTGAGAGAGAAAAGAAATATGTAAAACCGCACGTATGTCGCTATCTGATTGTTCTCTGGCCAAATGATCAACGGACAAGTGGCCGGAGGAGAGAGCGATCTTTGAAATAGGGTGTCATTCCCTGAGATGGAACAGGATTTCCTGTCTGGAATACACCGAAGTGGAAGTGTAACGGTGTTTAACCTTGGAGATCTTCCTTGTCGTCCACAGAATTTAACAACGAGTGAGCGACAACCTTATATGAGCATTAAAGAATAAAATCATCGAGTGGATCATTGAATAATCCCGTTTTAGGTTCAATCCCGCACTCGACTTCCCCTCAGAATTGAAATTCCTGAGCGTTTGGAGAATTGAATATTCCTTGGATTCATCTCATTGGCTGGGAGTAGAGTATGGAAGGCGAGGTTGGTTTTCTTTTTGATTATTACCACCCTAAAGTTGTAAGCGGGTAAGTTACTGGTTCCGGTCGCTCTAACAAACCGTCCCCGAATGGGAGTCGAATACGAGAGGTAATGGGTATGCTAGGGCAGAGCGACTCAGAAGTCACTTCGACCTTCAATTCCATGACAAACGGAAAATTGCTCCCGCTACCCTATTTGCGAAGGTACTCCTTTCTTCAAAGCCATTAGATTGAACTCTGCCCCACTTTAGAGAACTTTCGAGGATGGGCATATCACCTACGCGAAAATCAGCTTATAACTGGTAGTAAGGGATTGATAAGGTTTCCCTGGCTGTTTTGAGAATCGATTTCAGCAGAGGCATGCTATGACGGGCACAAGGGGTCCAGATACACAGTAAACAACTCTTTTCATCCTTCTGATTATCGGTTGTTAAGGAATTGTTGCCGCTCATGAGCAAAAATGACTCCCATCCAATTCTATTTATGGTTGCATGGAATAACTGATTATACGGAAGGAAAATACGAAACCTCATCTGTTGCTGAATTATCCTTCAGCCTGGGTGCTTTCCCAGGAGGAGAATGAAAACTTAACATTTAGCAAGGGTCTGACCAATAAAGTCATGTGAAAAGAATTAAATAGTAATTGACTTGCTTTTACTGACTTGTTTTCGTAAGCCTTGAGAGGTGTCAACACTCCTCTCTCGACAAGCTTATCGACGATATCGTCGTATTCCTTCTGAGATCCATCGCAGATGTAGATACCGGCAGGATTCATCAGTTCGGCTTTTTCGGCCACAAAGCGCTGCACCTTCGGGGCCAAAGAAGCGAAATCACCCTGAAAACATTGGTTTCTCGAAAACGAAGTTCCAATCTCTAATTTGGTCTCCCTATCAGGATGCTGGAGCTTTAACTCCTCCAGAATGGGAGGACTGATGCTCTCAGAACCCTCAAGATGAGGATTTGTCACAGGAAGAGCATAGATGGGCTCGCTTCCCGTGCATGATGCAATCGGGGAGCTTCCACATGACGCAAATTTCGATTGAAGATATCAAGTGGCTCACACTATGTCAAACTCCATCGTTTTCAGGAAATGGGCAGACTAACCTTGAATATGGGGATATGGTTAAGTTTGTGGGTGACGACTTCAGTGACGACTTGGAAGCCGTCGCTTTCCATGGGACGCAACGAAATGCAGTCTATGGTCATCCTGAAAAGGGACTTCTTAGGTTCTGAAAGATAAAGGATCGAATGAGTGAGATGATGGAATTAACGACATTAGAAGTAAAGGAATAAGTAGCAGCAATGAATGCCGTCAGTGGGTGACCGAGCGACCGACCGACCGACGACGACGACTGCGCCTTGCCGATGCCACGCCCGCTTGGGACAGCGGTCTGTTGCAAACGTTGGTCGCTGTTTCAGAGTAGTATAAATCCCCTTTCCCTCCTTGTCTAACCCCTCTATACCTCTCGCTCACACTCCGCCCCACCTTTCCCGTTGACGAAAGTGCAGTAGGGTGAAACAGTGTAGAAGCAGGTGATGTACCAAGGGCGAGACTCAGTTCTTCTCCAAAGGTCGCTGATGGAGACGTCAGACTTGGGGATGGCGTGCGTCAAGTGGCTGAGGCCGTGTTGTGAAGCACAAACGTGCGATTAAACAGTTACAACAAATACACAGGGACAGGTGCTCTACACTCTCTCATTACTCGTTTCTGTCGGCAGGGTTGAGACATCCTGACACGCTCCGGGATGGTTCAAGGAACTTTTCGGGGACATTATTTGAGATTAATAGAATGTCGGAATACATCCTTAGCGGAGGCAACTCGAGAGGCAAAGTATAAATGTAAGGGAACCTCCAAGCCTTGGATTATTTGTGGTTTTTAATCAATTTCGTGTCTGCGTCGTACCCGAAATCCCTAAGTAACACTATGTAGATGTCCAAGGAGAGATGACGTCTAGGTTTCGGTGGAGTTGAAGAAAGGCAGAATTTTAGAAGTGAAATGGACGAAACAATCTTTCCCTGGACTCTAATAGACAGCCCAAGGACTGCTTTTTGATGAAAAATGATGGAAGCCAAGCTGTTTTGTTGTTTTGCACAACTGGTGGTTTGGGTGCAATGTACTGAGCAGCTAAAATTATGACTGTCTAGGTTTCGGTGGAGTTGAAGAAAGGCAGAATTTTAGAAGTGAAATGGACGAAACAATCTTTCCCTGGACTCTAATAGACAGCCCAAGGACTGCTTCTTGATGGAAGATGATGAGACCCAAGCTGTTTTGCTGTTTTGCACAACTGATGGTTTGAGTGCAATGTACTGAGCAGCTATAATTATGAATGGGAACTAGTGGAGCACGTGGATCGAGAATGCCCCTCAAGAAATATCAGATTTCCTTGTTTTGAAACTGTCAGCATTCAAATAAATCAAGCCTTCAGTCTAAGCTCACTCATGGCTGCAAATATAAACTGAACCCTTAGGAAAACCCTGGTTTTTGTTGATGCAAAGCTACATAGAAGTCGCCATCTATCCTCCTCAGTTGCCTTCGCTACTCACCATATCGTTTACGGTCTAGGTCCAAGTCGGACTACCATTCACAGCATTATCAGTTTTCTTACTCCTTTGGTGTAGCCAACAACTGGTAACCCACTTGGCTTTTCGGATAGGATTCCGGACGAAATGGTATCATAGGGTTCCCATTCCTCTCTGCTCCATCCAGGAACCGGGGGAAATCGATGGCCGTTCGTCTGGGGTCGTGGGTTTCAGTTTTTTATCAGCTACGCAAATGTTATCAGTTGTACTGGTGATAGATCACTTTCGCCGGTTACCAATCTGTTTGTGACTGTTTGTTTGTACCCGCATAAGCAGTTTCAACTTGTTTGCATTCCTCATATTTTTGGTAATTGGCGAAATTCATTTTATTTATATATTCGGTATCAATTACTTCTGCTTTCGTTACTTTCTCCTGGTAACCTTGTGCTTGATGGTCAGATGGCCCACTGGGTTGAGGAGTAAACAACTGTGCACTCTTTTACATGGAATTTTCTTCCCCGATCTACCCGATTTTTCATTAGAACTTGGGGATGGGTCGTATTGTGATGTAAGAGAAGAATGATAGAAGTAAAAAGTTTTAATGCTGATATTGATTGATATGTTCGTGATAGATTAAGTTGAATGCGTTTTGTGTTAGGTTGAACAACTGTCCCGATGATCGCAGTAAAGATCGGACGGGGTTAGCCTGCAGGTTGCGCTTGAAAGAAGATTAGAGGGGTATTAGGTGGCAAGAGGATTAATAGCAAAATAAAGCTGTTGTTATTCAAAAAAAAAGGGTTGTGCATTGAACATTTTGGTACGTGTTAGGTATTACTCTGACGTTCGGACATGCTGTATTCTAATTTTAAGAAGATTAAAGGGGATTGCTGGTATTCCTGCACAACAAGCAGTTTGATATCATTCCCTTCCAAAAGTTTCACGTTATACTTTGCATCATCTGCCGCAGAATCAAGCGCGATATCGCCTGGAAACGGACTTTTTAGTAACTGGAATTTTCTCCAATGTACGACTTCCATACCTCCAAAATGCCGGAAAGGGTCTAACCCATCCAACTGTTCTTCAACGATTCCAATCTCAATAGAGCCCTTTAATTAGTTCATTCGAACATAAACTCGCTGCCGCAGATCCAGGCCAGAGGCCAGACCCTGACTTGTCGTCGTAAGCTTTCTTCTAACCACACAAGGTCTACTTCAGTCTCGAGGACTCTACGGGGAATGTATCTAAAGATGGATCTAAAGTTGAGGGCACCATAACAGCTGATTTTTCAACGATTTTATGTGGGTTAGGATTTAGACAATCGATTTCATTGTTTTTCAACTTTCCTCCCATGCTCAGTTCAGGATGAGCACGTCCTCT